CTATAATGGCCTTTATAAAAATTAAGGATTCTGTTGGGATCAACGACGGAAAAAAGGTCTTGCAATTTTTTGCATCTAAAATTATTTCCTTCGGGTCTCTCAGAAGTCTAGACATTCGGTTAAAATGCGTCTAATGGTAAAATCTGTGTCGCATCCGACACAAAACGGCTTCTCTTCCGCCTGAAGGGGGTATTTGTATTTCAGGGATGTGTATCCGCTGCGTAATCGAGCAAAAATGAATTTGTCTCTTCTGGAGAGGCCCGAAGGGTTTCGCGGACCTAGTTTGGGCTTGATGTTGTGTAGCTTATTGTTTCGGGGTTTTTTTCAATGAGTCACCCACAAATTGGAGGAGGAGTTTTTCTGTTGTTGTTTTTTTAAAGTCAGTCTGTGGAAGAGTGTTCGTCGTTGATCTCAACAGAAGGGACACGGATTCTTTCGCCAGGAGGTCCACTTGCTCGTTTCCTCGGATGCCCACAAGCTAGGAAGCCATGCATTCTGCTTTGAATGTTTTGGTGTTTGTGCTTGCTTTGGTGTGTTTGGTCAGTTGTAAAAGTCTACTTTTGTCTAGGTGAGGTGCCACGGAGGGAGTTTGGGGAAAAGAAATTGTTGGATGTCTTGTTTGGAAAAGTGAAGGTTTTTGAGGTCCTCAATGACTCTGAGGCCGAAGGTTTTGAGTAGTGTTTTGTTGTTTTGGAACTTCTGTATGGTTTCTGGGTTTGTTCTAAAAATACAGTTGTGTGTTGGGTTCTGTGGTATTGAGCTTTGTTTAATTGCGTATTGTAGTGAGAGTTGTGTGCGTCTGAGTGTGAGTGATGGTATGTTTGCTTTGACCTGGAGGCTCTCCACTGGAGAAGTACGGAAAGCCCCCAGGACGAGACAGAGTCGTTGGTTTTTAACTGGGTCTAACCTTTTCAGGACGTGGGGTTTTGCCGATCAATAGACCTGACAGCCGTAGTCAAGCCTGAATCGGACAAGGGAAATGTTTAGGTGGAGAAAGTGTTCGGAGTCCCCGCCCCTCTCAGGATGCGACAAAATTTTCAAAGCGTTTAAAGCTTTCTGGCACCGTACACCTTATGTGTGGAATGAATGTGAGTTTCATGTCAAATATAATGCCAAGGAAACGAGCCAGGTCCTGGACGGGAATCTTTTCCCCGTATAGCGTCAAACCCGGCTGCAGTGCAAGTCTGTCTGATTGGCAGAAGTGCACTGCAACCGTCTTTGACGGGGAAACTTGTAGTCGTTATTATTTGCCCACTTTTCAAGTTTGTGCAGCTATTTTGGATGGTTTTAATGATGGAATCTATTTTAATTTCGAATAGGAGAGGAGAAAGGATGTTTCACGGTGGGATACCTTCCTGCTGTTGGTGGGGATCTGAAAGGGAGGATATGACCCGATCCTGGAAGGAACGGTTCTTCCGGAAATTACCAATGAAGGCAGGGAGGTGTCCGCGTATGCTGAAAGCGTGCAGGTCTCTGAGAATGCCGTACTTCCAGGTCGTGTCGAAGGCTTTTTCTAGGTAAAAAAAGATGGCGATCATGTGGCCTACTTCTGCAAACGTCTAGCATATTATAAAAGCCTCCAGGCGGACCAGGTGATCCTGAGCAGCTCGTGTGTTTCTCAATCCGCACTGGAGACCGCTCAGCGAGCTTGTCGTCTTCAGAAACCACATGAGTCGCCTGTGAATAATTGTTCAATAAGTTTGCCCTGACAGTTCGTTAGTGCTATTTGTCTGTAATTAGATGGGTGTGAGTGGTCTTTGTTTGGTCTGGGTACTGGACTGATAGTAGCGAGACGCCAAGACTCCGGAAAGGAGTGCGACCATCACATGTCGTTGTATATGTCTAGTAGGAGTGTAAGTGTTTCTGTTGGTAAATGTCTAATGATCTGGTTGTGGAAGTCATCTGGAACCGGGGCTACGATTGACGTTACATGATAATAATAATAATAATAATAATAATAATAATAATAATAATAATAATAATAATAATAATAATAATAATAATAATAATAATAATAAGAGCATTTGTATCCCGCCTTTCCCCACAGCATGGGCCCAAGGCGTACATAGGAGATTAAAAACGCATTCATACTAACACATTACAAATTCATCAAGTGCGCACTTTTTGACAGCAACATTCTTTCAGACAATAAAAAATGCTCATACAAAAAGGCAAAGGTACTGTCCATTAATTAAAATATTTCTTAAATAGATGTGTTTAGAGTCCCCTTTTGAAAGTATCAAGTTTTATTTCGCTCCTCAAATCATGAGGGAGAGTGTTCCAAATTGTTGGCCCAGAAAAAGAAAAAGCTCTCTCGCCATATTTCTTCAGTGACACACGAGGTGTTGAAATTAGTCTAGAGCCACTGGATCTTAGTTCACGTATTGGTGTGTGGTACAATGAGTTCTTGAATGTATGTGGGAGACTGTTAGTTTGACCTTTAAAGCATAGTAGGGCTAACTTATATTCAATTCTCGCTTTCAGTGGAAGCCAATGGAGCTTTTTAAGTAGGGGAGTTACATGATGGCGTTTTGATTGCTTTAATACTAGCCTGGCAGCATTGTTTTGAATGCGTTGGAGTTTTGCAATTTTTTGTTCGGGTAGGCCAGGGAACAGTGAATTGCAATAATCAATGCGTGACAAAATGAAGGCAAACACTAGTTTTTTGGGTGGCATCAGTGCTAAGAAATTTCCTTATGTGAGCAATTCTTCTCATTTCTAAGTATGAAATTTTACATAGATGGTTAAGTTGGGTCTCCATGGTCAAGTCTTTGTCTAAGTATACTCCTAAATTGTTTGCTTTGTTTGAAAAAGCGACAGTACCTTTGCCAATGGTGAAACATTCTACATCAAGAGCATTTATCTTTGAGCTGGTTGAGCATGGCATGATTTCTGTTTTGTCATCATTTAATTTCAATTTATTTTCAGTCGTCCATGCTTTTACAGATTCAAAACATTCTGAGGTGTCTTTCAACAGAGATTGAATTTTGTTGGGTTTTGCAGACTTATAAAGTTGTGTGTCATCTGCGTACATATGGTAGGGTATGGAATGGTGTCTGATGGTACGACCAAGGGGTAAGGTGTACATAGTGTACAAACACAGGTCCCAGTACTGACCCCTGGGGCACACCAAATTCCAGCAATTGATGACAGGATTGAATGCCCTCAACAACAAAGTATGATCTACCACTGAGGTAAGATCGAAACCATTCAAGTACGGTGCCAGATATTCCGAACACGTCCGACAAACGACTCAACATGATGTTGTGGTCTAATGTATCAAAAGCTGCAGACAGGTCTAAAAGTGAGAGAATGGATACCAAACCCTCATCTGCAGCATTGAGTAGATCAGAGACAATTCTGAGCAAAGCAATCTCAGTGCTATGGTTTTCTCTGTACGCCGATTGAAATGGCTCAAAATAAGTTATTCTTTGTGAGATGATCAAACCGTTTCTTTCGAACTATCAATGTTGCACAGTTCTGAGCTACCAGGATTTGTTTGATGGGGACAGCTGAGAAACAAAAGTGTTCTTGAAATCCTGTCTAGATAGATTATAGGATCTAGAATCTAGATCTAGAGTCTAGAATCTAGATAAAGTTTGTTTACACAAAAAAGAACACTCTAATTTGGGTGAGAGGAAAATCACTCTAACGGCGTCAGCTCGGTTCAGTTTAATTTTTTTCGCAATTCAGCGACTGAACGCATTATACTGCTGCAAAATTCTGAAGAAAATCAAAATTCCACGGCCGCGTCGCGGGTGAAGTTCCGCGGTGCGAGTGATCCATTTTTCCTTGATCGCGCCGCGGTTGCAGCACCCGTGGAAAACTATGCTGACAGATTCAGCTAAGAACTTGCATTACAACATTTCAGATCAAGAAACAAAAACGCGGGCGGGCACAGCAGATCAACCGAGAATGAAAATTTGCTATCATTAAACTATCTATTGCTTCACAGATCAACCACTGACGTAAATGTGATCACATGTTCTTTGAAACTCACGATGTAACGGTACAATGTTTGCCTCAGACAGGATCGCACCGAGGTGTGAACTCTCAGATGCGTTTGCTTTCTCCAAAACATCGCACTGGCATCTGAACTTTCCACCTGAACTTAATCACACGCTGGGTGACCATTGCAGCAGTTGACTCTAGTCCCGAATTTGCGAGACAGACTGAATCTTTATCGGTGTGTTCTACAGTAGGCCCTGGTGTGGTTACAACGCAATGGTGCGTAACGACAAAGGCGTGGGAACTTGGTCAGAGACGGAAAGAGATACATTTTGAACAGATTAAGGGAAGGAGCAAATGGAAAAGCGTAGATATTGAGACCCTCGATAGGATAATAAGTGAAAATGGCATGTCTCATACCACTGTGATTGGTCATCAAGGTTGATCACTCTTTGGTTGCCGTAAGTCATAAACCCACCAGGGGTCACGTCAGTTCATTTTTACAGTGAAGAGAGACCATTCTACCGGTTGAGTGCCTAAACATAGGTTACCATAGATTCTTCCCTTGGTGCATTAGCTAAAATCCCGTTCGCCTAAGATCCCGCATTTTCCTTGCTCCCGAGCTGCGCACCGGGATCTTAGGCTGAGACTACTGTTATGAAGCCTTTGTACTGGTCCTGGTTTTTATGTGAGGGTACAATTTTATAAGCACATATTTTCCCCTCTCCTGAAAAATATTCCTCTCTGAGCTTACAACATTTTTTTTTTTTTTTTAAAGAAAAGTTGAAATAACTATTAAACCCTAGATATAATTTTAGGAAATCCCACATTGCACAACCCCCATCCCCTATTAATATTCTTTGGGTCCTTCTTTTTCATGTTTTGTCATGCTTGAGAACCAATCTCTACCGACAAATGGAATTCAAATAGAGTAGGACAGCACTCCACAACAACAGTGCCACCTAACAAAATGCTGGCATATTTAACCAAAGGAACTAGCTACTTTTCATTTGAGGAAATCAACACATCACACACACACACACTTCACTCACATAATAGCTTTTTCTTTACCATCTCCATCGCTTTCTTCATCTACATCCATATGCAAGGAGTTTCCTTGGTGGTCATTATTTTCATCAGAATCTTCCACCTGAAGAAAAACAGACATAATTCTCAAAGCCAAGTATCAATAAATACTTTTTGGACTATATGACATTGCGAAAAAACTGCAAAATAAAAATCATACCAAGCTATCAAAACATTTCTTTTAGTTCCACAGTATACAGCAACATTATAACTATGAAAAGTACAAGAGTGTAAAGAACAGCCAAAGTAAAACGTGAGGCAGCGTGGTGAAATCAGGCGCTAGATCTAGTCAAAACAGTGAAATCAACAAAGAAATCTTAATTTAGGGGAGACTTTTGGGCAATTTTATTTCGAACTTTTTTAGCTCAACACATTTTGTCCTTTAAAAAACACATTTCTGTGAGGATGTTACAGAAAAACGTTTCTCAATGGCACCAAAAATATAAATTTTCAAGGACTCATAAGCTTTATAATTAAACAAACTTTAGCAGACTCATTCTCACTATTTTTTTCCTCTCACCATCTCCTTCAATCGCAAATATCTCGATTGCTATTCAAGATAGATGCATAATTTTGTTGCCAAATGCAAGACAAATGAACACACTTTAAGATGATATTAATAACTCTATATGCACCAAAATTGACAAGCGCTTGATTCAACCAAGTCGCGACACAAATACAAGCTTGCTTCAGCTCAAGTAATTCTACAAGTAGCCTGAATCTTAAACACTTTTCCGGAAGACTCTCCTCATATATGCTGAACACACCTGCAAAACCTTTCACCCTGGACGGTGCAATCGCGAATAAATCTGGTTTTGTACTAGTAATACAGTACACAAGGCCTCAAATCTTGAAAATGCTGTTTGAAAGCACGTCATAAAAAAACGTTTCCAGCATAACAACAGTACCTTTTAATTATGTTGGCCTGTGGCACACAGTACTACTATGCGCAACAGGCCAACATGATTAAAAGAAAACAAACATACCTTGGAGAGCATAACCTATAATTAGAAAGTTGAACTAAAAATCAAGTGAGTTGCAACTTAAGTATTTGTGTCACAACTTCATAACTTTATTATTAAAGGTCCGTTGACCTTAGAAGCATAGAACTCAAAGCATAACATGAGTCATGACAGTGGAATCAAGGCGTTTGTCAATTTTTGGCCATGTGGATTTATTGGAATCATCTGAAAGCTTGTTCATTTGCTTGAGTTCAATGAAAAAAAAGTCCAACTATCTGGAATTGAAGTCGAGATATTTACCATTTTAAAGGAGACCGGGGCTGCAAGGTTCCAGATGTTGAATGGCGAGAAAATGGCCACTATAGTTTGGTAACTTCAATTGCTTGTTGTTGTGTGTGTGTGTGGTAGCTTATCCGTTCGAAATGTTCGGAGCCCCGAAGAGTGTGCTCTTCGCCAGGGCCACCGCCTCCCTTGCTTGTTGTTGTTGCTGTTGTTATCGATCCAGCAACAGCTGGGTTCTCGCCTTTCTGTTCAATGCCATGTAGTAATAAGTGCAGGTTTGCTGCAGTCGCTGTAATATTCCGTAGAGTATGTGGTCAATGTCAGGTCTCGCAGGGAGACGTGTAACTCTGATGTCATTTAGGGCTGTACAGTGGAAAGGTGATGATCCAGTCTCATATGCATAGTCACACAAAGGACACATTGGGGGAAGCCCTGGCTTTATTCTGTTCAAGTGAAAGTTGAGCTGTATATGTTCTGTTCGTAGGTGGAAGATCGTGGTCAGTTTCTTTCTCTGTAGGAGGTTGATATTGTCATTTTGTTTTGTTGTGGTCATATGTTTGAAAACTGCGACTATCTGTCTTTCCCAAGGCCCATATGTTCATCTAATCTTGCTTGCTGTTGCTTTTATTGATTTGTTTTTCACTCTTGTATGAGGTTGGAGTGTAGGCCTGTTCCCGACTAGATCCCCTTTTGGCGAGTGTGTCTGCTTTGTCATTTCCAGGTATGTTTGAGTGTCCCGGCATCCACTGCATCACCAGGTTGACGCCACAGGATGTTATCAGGTGATGGGATCCGGGAGCCAAACAGTATGTGTCAAGTCTTGTTTTAGTTTATGGTCATTTTCTATCGCTTGCAAGACTGAGAGTGAGTCATTGAAAATCACAATACTCTGTATTTTGTTAGGATGAATGTCAAAAACTGTACGGACAAGGTATAGTGCTGTTTCAATTGCCATCATTTCTGCATCGTAGTTTTTGTATTTTTCTCCACAGGCTGCAGAGATCTCATTGGAACTTCCATCTGAGTACTGTATTAATACTCCATATCCGGCTTTGGTTGTGCCTTTGCATGCTGAGCCTTCTGTATAGACGTGTATCCAGTCATCTGAATATCTGTCGATTGTTTGATTTGATGCAAGCATCAGCGTCACTGGGTCTGAAGATTTTGTGCTATTGTCTCTGAGAGAGGTTGTTACGATTGGTCTTTCCAAAGAAATGTGGGAAGGAATGTTAACTGTTTTGGTTTCTCTTCTGTTTTGTGGTATAAGGTGACTCTCCATTAGTTCTTTGATGTGTTGCTTGATTGATTTTTGTTGAAGTCGCTTCTTCGGTTTCTATGTTTCTACTAATTTCCTGTTTTGTGGTTGAGACACATTCTTTTGGTTCCTTCATGGAGCTCCAAAACTGCTTTATCTCAGCGAATTTCCAGGGGTTCAACATTTGAAATTTCACATGCAGCAGTAGGAGTCGATCTCATGCCACCATTTATGAAACAAAGGGCATTATTCTGGACCTTTTCACAGTGTGCAGGCTATGCTGTATTCAAGGGAAGATCGGACATAACCAAGGTATAGAGCTCTCAGAGTTTGTACGTCTGATCCCCATGAACTGCTTGCGAGTTTCTTTAAAAGTTGGAGTCTTCTTTTCGCCTTGGCCCTTATGCTCTCCACTTGGCTTTTCACAGTCAGACTTTGGTCAAATTTGACTTCTAGGTATGTTGGTTGTCCTTCTTCGGGGAGATTTTCATTTCCTATCTTTAGTTGGAGTTTTTCTTTGGCTGTTTTATGGCTCCTTGTGAAGATGGTATATACTGTTTTCGTGCAGTTGATTTTGAGCTTCCATTTCTGACAGTAATTGTAGAGCCTCTTGGGGTCTTCATTTAGTTTCCCTGCTCCTGTTACCGTGCTGTGATGTGTCTGACAGAGGGTAAGATCATCAGCGTAGAGTCTTTTCAGATTTTAGCACCTTCGTTACATCATTGAAGAAGATCGGGAACAAAGTGCAACTCAGACAGGGGTAGGCCTCCCTCGAGTAATTCTCTTGACAAGTGGGCATTGTTCACCCTGGTTTCGATGTTTCGATCCGCTAGGAAAAACTCGATCCATTTACAAAGTTTTCCGTGTATCCCGAGATCCATCATTTTCAAGAGTAGGCCTTTTCTCCACACTCTGTAGTACGCCTGTTGAGGGTCTACAAAAATGGCGACAGTGTGTTTTGACTCCTGAAAACCACCCTGGATGTCTTTACTTAATTTGAAAGGTTGGTCTTCTGTGTTGCTGCCTTTTCTGAAGCCTGCTTGGTGTGGGTTCAAGCTGTTGGTGTTCTCCTGGTACTAGTAAAGGCGGTTGTTCACCATTCTTTCAGCAAGCTTACCGATACCGATACATGATGTTAGTGATATAGGTCGGTAGCTCTTTGCTTCTCCAGGGGGTTGCCCATTCTTCAGGAGCAGTATGATCTGGGCGATCCTCCATACCTTTGGTATTCCACTCGTTCTCCATGTGGTATTTACTAGGCGGCGTATTACCTCTTTTCCTTTAGCGCCAAGGTTACACAGTATTTCGTTGTGTATATTTTGTCTGGTCATGGGGCTTTCTTTTGCTTTAACTATTTGAGGGCCGTTCCGAGTTACATCATGCTGAAGTACTCCTCAAAAAGGGTGTTGTTCACGCACACAGTAGGGGCTTTTTCTTCGGGCTCAGCCTTGTTTATGTGGAATTATCGGCCTCAGTTAGTCTGCTTGCCCTGTTTACTAAGGCAAAATACTGGTTTAAAAGTTCTACTTTCTTCTGGTTTTCTGTGACGGTGCTGCCGGAAAGGAAAAAAAAGGTTTGGGGTTGCTTTTTTGTCTTTCTCCGGAGAGGTTGCTGACAAGGGACCAAGCCTTTGTTTCATTGTGGTAAAGGTCAAAATCTTCGCAGGTCTGAGTCCATTTTTCATTTTTGTTTTTTTTAATAGTCATTTTCACTTGAGCGTAGGTCTCGCTATATAGTGTGTTCAAGCTATAATTGGTGACACGGTGAGTTTTCCAGTAACTGTCTGGCCTTTTCTCTTTTTGCCACAACAGCCTGGATTTTTTCATTCCAAAAGGGTTTGAAATTTCTTCAGCATCCCACTGGAATGTGGTGAGATGCAGCTTTAAGAATATTTGAATGACTTATTCATTAAAAAGATTAGAATCATCTGTTTCTACTACACTAGAGAGCAATGTGTCAGAGGTCTTTTTGTACTCTTCCCAGTTGGCTTTCTTAAAGTTAAATATCTGGGGAGTCCTAGAAAATTGAAACTTTACATATGTAGTGCTTAAAGTTGTTTTTCAGTCAAATTCACACATAAATATCGGCATATAAAAAGTGTAGAGCCAAAAAACAAAAATTCGATAAAAAATAGCCAAATGCACAAAAATGCCCTTTTCTTCGATTTTATTATTTTAACGAACTCCTGATTACACCACGATGCCTTACATTTTTCCTCAAGAATATGTTAACTTTGGCATGGTAACTAAAATTAACAAAACGAGTTTAACATAGAAATACAGTCTTGTACGCACACAGGGGAAATCAGTGTGACGCTGAAAACGTTTCGTTATGTTACAAATTCCGCTATTTCGTCAGTCGCCTGATGAAATCGTGAATTCCACACGAAACAAATTTTTCAGGAGAGGGAAAAAACTGATTTTCTCCCGTCATTTAGCGTTCAAGACACAAACTAAATGGATCAATCTGGTACTGCACCTTTTAGAAATAATATTATAGTACATCTTTTCCCCTAGATGGTAATTTTCTCGAGAAAGTGTGGGATTCACGATTTTCATAATCGAATCTCGCCAGATGGGGTCGTAAATTCACGATTTCATCAGTAGGCTTTATGAAGCGCCGGGTTGTATTCACGCTTATTTGGCATTGTGTTTTCTCTTGTTAGAGGCCCTGGTATATTTAAAAATATATGAAAGCACGCAATACTGTTATACAAAAGATTTTAAAAGACCAATTTAAAACTGAGTATGAAATTAAACGACTGAGTGAAACAGAAAGCTATTCATTATTTTACCACTATAAACATCTATTATTCTTACATGAGTGGGATATTGTATGTAATCCAAGAACATCAGCTCCCCAGCACAGTAGTTCTGACAGCAAAACCGCTGGGAGTTAACATAAAGAGTTAAAGAACAATGCTGTTTTGACTTCATGTACACATAGAAAAACACCAACAACTTGAAGACAGCAGCAGGTGTATATTAAAAACTCTTACCTCTTCATATTGCTTTGAATTCTGAATAGCTTTGAGCTTTTCAAGAAGACTTGACTTCTCTGCTAAGCACGTATGAATTTCTTTCTCTAACCTCAGTGAAGCAATTTTTGTCTTTGCCCTAGAGCATTTGGTCAAAGAAAACACTTTTCTGTTATATAATAAGAGAAAAATCTCAAGGAAGGATGTAAACATTGTCAACCTACTGATTGTACAAAGTTAGCCTCCACATGACAGTAGTGGAAACTTTATTAACAGCATCAAACCTATATTGACGTCAATAGAAACAAGATGAAATTACAAGGGAAAAAAAGCAGCTTGAGTTCAGAGTCAGTCACACAAAAGACATTGACACCAGACGGATAAATATATGTATTACATCGATCTCCTTCAAGAATGAAATAAGTCAGTACCTATTCAGTTTCCCTGTTCTACAAATATTAACCATTTTTTGTTGGCCCTTCTTTACTGGTATGGAGTTCCATGACATCCATGGACATCATTGCAGCGAAAAGTGACATGCCACAGTACCATCACCATAATGGAAGTGAAGGCATTTCCAAGCTTCAGGATAGAGAGTGAGAGAAAAAAGACGAAGCTTTAACGTGCAAAAATTACAAACTCTTAAGGGTAGGTAGCAGTTAATATTTCAAACTTCGTTATTAATACACTCCAACAACATTCAGAGTGACCACCAAAAAAAAAAAAATATATATAATACTAATCTGTAATCTGAATGTGATCTGAATCAGATCAGTATCAATAAAAGTCAGTTATTGGTATGTTTTTAGCTTCTATTCACTCAAACTGAATGGCGGGCATTGGTTTCAATGTCACTCTATAAGTTAAACGTGTCAGAACAATAACAGGCCTAATAATAATATAAACAACATGTGTATGGCGCCTAGATATACCCATTTTCCATTCAGATAGATCTAAATCCAGATTCTAGATAGATTCTGAGGTGACGGATTTAAATCTAGATCAAGATCAAGATCAGATGTAAATTATAATTCAATCTAGACTCTAGAATCTAAGCCTTTCTAGAGACATCGCTCTGCATCTCAACTCCTGAACTATCAATCTAGATTCTAGAAGCACACAGGCCTACGAATGTAAACAAACAGCCGAAACTAGGTCAACTTTTCGACTGGAAATTTTAATGAAATGAGTGATAAAGTGCATTTCTTGGGATTTTGTGGTCAAGTGTTGATTAGTAAAGCATCTAGTCTAATAAAACTAACGTCTTGCTGATTTTGATGACCTGTGAAGAATTTCGAATTTAGATCGAAAATGAACATTACAACACTACTGAATAGCACGTCTGGCGCGTCGTGCAGCCCCCTGATGACAGACAGACCACACAGCGATACTGCTCAAGCACACCTATAAATATATCATGCATTGTGTTTTTTGCACGGCGTAAGGTAGGCCAGATACAGATCAGACCTACAGACCCATGCTGCTTCCGGCCTGGCAGGCCTAAAAAAAAAAGAGGCTAAAATCAATGCGAACGGATGCCTGCACTGGGCTGCCTACCTCAAAGTTCCTATTCTAGGGAAATTCAGGGTCACTTTCAGGTATTTTGGCCCAAAATTTAGACAAATAAGGGGGATAAAATGATCGTTGCCCTGGTATACATAGTAACCATCGAACAGGGCTCGCTTTTCGTGATATGTGGATAACTATGTCTTGAAAACTTGATGAAATGAGGCGGAATTTTGTATTGTTTTTGTGTTTTAAGCACTTATTAACTATCAAGGCACCTATCATTCAGTATTGATGCGTCGGTAGCCTAGTGGTTAGGCTCTCGGACTCGCAACCGTAAGGTCGTGGGTTCGAATCCCGTCAGGGACCCGACGTTGTGTCCTTGGGAAAGGCACTTTACACGAATTTTCCTCACTTCACCCAGGTGGGAATGGGTACCCAGCTATAGACAGCGAAAGATCTTGTCAGTTTGTTAGTGTTTGAGCGCTTAATCGGCTGCTTGCACTGTATGCTTCCCGGGAAGCTGAGAATGTTTCGGAGTGTTCTATGGTCTGCTGGGGTAATAATATAGTGTAAAGCGCATAGAGCCTGCTGCTGAGCGGGGATATGCGCTATACAAATGCTATCTATTATTATTATTATTATTGAGTGCATGGTGACTGCCAAACTGACTTCAAAACCTATAGCTCATACCAACAGAAACTATATTAAAACATCATATTTTCCGACATTAGCATACGGTACTGGTAAGTCCCGTGTGACGTAGGTATGACAGACAATTTTAACTAGTTTTGCTCTAAAAATACAAAGTGTCAAAATGAATCCTGATCTGGGCCCTGTGGAGAGGTTAGAACATTAACTGGCAAAACCATGTTTGGGTTTCAGCATTTATGGATTTTTAAAAGCATGCAAGACACGGAGGAAAATATTTTTTTTTAAAGGCTGTAGGCTACAATTGTTTGTAAGTTTATTTTAATCACCCTGTAGTTCGTTTCGTTTGGCTTAAGATCACGATGTTTTAACCTTATCCGTACACCTAGGGTCATTTCGTACCCCAGGGGCTGTTTTCTTCACTGATCTGCTTGCCGCTTCAAAGATCAGCCACTCTCATGAATGTGATCACATAAACATTGTACAACTTGATGAAACTGAACAATGTTTGCGCCAGACGGGATCACACCGAGGGGTTTGTTTTCCCCAAACCTCGGACTCGCTTGAGAGCTCTCCGCTTAAAATCACATCACACGCTGGGTGGGTAGGGCCTACATGTTCGCTCCAGGTAGATCATATCTTCCCAGACCATAGCAGCAGTTCTCGAGCACGGGGATCTTAGGCGGAGACTACTGTACTCCGGAGCAGTTCTCCCTAAAGTAATGGCAACATTTAGCTCATGGAATAAACTACTGAATATTACCAATGCTGCTCGTTAAACTGTCAGCCCGGGTCCTATTTCTAGTATTACTAAACTTGGACCATGACACAAGAGTATTTAGAGACTAGAATAGAAACCAGTGAGCAGCTGATATTAAGACCCTAGGTTGTATTATACAAGTTCAAAACAAAACACCAGTCAGTGAAATAGAACTCTTACCTGCTCAGTTTATCAGTAGAAACAGCAAGAATTTCAATTATTCTTTCCCTTTTTCAAGTGATAGTAGCTTACGAAAACCATTGGCGAATGTATTGTATGAGAGCGACAAACACGCAGATGTTGCATCAGGGAATCGAAAGTGTCTGTCCCAGTGAGAAAACGGGAGCCCCTTCAATCATAACCGTTGGGGCTTTTGATTGACAAAGTTCTGGAAACAACCCACAAACAATCGAACAGTTGAAGTTCAATGTTGAACAAGACTTCCAAAGAGTCAATCCAGAAATATGCCATGGGGTTAATCAACATTTTCAGAGGCGTACGGGAGATTGAATGGAGAGAAATGGTCAACACCTGGAAATTTGAATAGGCATCACCTTCCCATCAATTTTGTACAAATTTGCTCTTCAACAAACAAGTAGCGACTATTTGAAATAAAGCAATATGATTGGGTTTTTTGTGAGTGTGTTTTACTTAAATTTAGTTGAAATTATTTTAATATATTTTAACTTGATATTTTCCTACCTTGATCGTTGATTTTCATTATATAAAAAAATGCAATACATGTATCACCTTAGAGTAATTTTATTTCTTTCAAGTTTTGTTGAAATTGGTCAAAAGATGATTGAGATATTGCTTTTTAAATGGGTCTTCTTATTTTTTTTATAGACGCTTAGTATAAGAAAGGAAACAGCAATGTCAAATAGGATTTCAAAGCATTGATACAAATATTTTGAAATGACAAGTCTTTTTAGTGCATGGATTTCTGATATCACTGGCAAGACTAGCATCGACGGATAACAGAAAGACAGAGAAAAATTCGCCATATTGAGTGGAATATCATTAGCACCTTTACAACATGTGTATACTTTAGTATAAAGGCCAAGGTGACTTACAACACTCAGTAAAATAATGAGTCAAGCTATTAGACAAGAGACAACAGAATTTTTAAAAAGAACCTCAAAGCCATAAGCAATCCTTCTCTCTGATGAAATTGTTTAACGCCCCTATAAACACTTTAGTTTATTTATGAGGCGGGACCTCTAATTTTAACGTCCATCTCCAAAACGACAGCATGCTCTCTTCTGGCAGTAGAACTTTATTAATAGCATCACAAATTACACTGCCATCAACATTCCTTATAAAAACAAGTTTGAATCTCTACAACAAAAGAACATTGAAATGTTAAGGGCTCCGTTATTCTATCTCTTCTGATCTGAAAGCCGAGTAAGCCCTTAATTGAAATGCCCATTTTAAACTAGTTGAACTAGGAAAGGCAGAGCTGGGATTCATCCTCATGGAGAACAATTAATTTCTAAACTCCTGCTTGGTTTAGTTACGAACAACTAGCCATAGGTTTTTTAAATCTTACATTTTTAGAAAAATAAATATTGAAGAAATCATATTATATATCTACACAACAATAGTCCTACAGTGTTAGGTCAAAAACAAGACACTATAGAGGGAAACAGGCAGGAAAGATGACTCGGGAGTGTTAAACCTATACCATTTCACAATTTTTCACAGAGGAATTAAGGATACATCTTTACAGTAATGTTCTGCATAACAGAGGAGCTCAGCTGATCTGAAATATGTAAAAACAAAAAAGGTTAGGAGAGGTTAAATGAATTATAAAATTTCAGTTCAACAATGTTGTCTTTTCATAATTTGGAAATTGAACTAATTTAGCACTTACCTCTTTTAAATCATTATTTACTTGCCAATAGCTATGCAGGACCACAGAGAGGGATACAATGGTCACGCAAAGAATAAAGTTAAAATCAAAAGGATTTCGGCAGATGAAGGCAAAAATATGCTCAAGATCTCTGATATATGAAATTTGAATTAAACTGAACAGTAAAGGGAAAGTTTTTTGTATCAAATGACGACTTTTAAAAAATATCATAACGACTATATAGTACAAAGGTGAGATGATAAGAAAGCTTTGTAGCAAAGCGGATTAGTTTCCTGTCACCAAAAGTCTGCCCTCAACAAGTCACTACTGTGTTGGTGGTCTAAAGCAGTACACATGAAAGTTTAAGCTCTAGGCTTCAGTGCTGATGGTATGAAGGAAGCTAGTACTGTATATTTTGCAAATCACATAGTTCAAGAAGATTTAAGACATTGGGAAAACTCAGCACAAAACAAAAATGTCTCCTCTGCTCTTATGGACCTCTGCAGAGGTGACAAAAAGAAACCACCGGAAGCTCATGCAGAAAGGCAGCTAGAAGGTTCACTCGATGCCTTATATGAGCGTAAGAGTACTGGTCCCAGCCCTGCATGGTCATTTCTAGGTGCTAGGATTTCTGGGATTTAGAAAGCACTTTCCAAACTCCAACTAAGCATAAAGTAGCTGTCCGATAAACGACCGAGTGCGGGTGGGTGAGGAGGGGCTGATTTGCCCAAAGATATGAACGGTGCAAAATAAGCCCTGAACGAAAAACATTTTCAGTGTATGCTTGGGATGATCTAAATCATCATCACACTGCAGATGCTGCAGTAACAGCAGCAACGAAGAGGAGGAGGAGGAGAAGGAGGAGAAGGAGGAGAAGGAGGAGAAGGAGGAGAAGGAGGAGAAAAAGAAGAAAAACTGTGTACAAAAAAAAGCCAGAACAATATACATATCTTTTGACATACTTTCTTTGGTAGAAATGCTCTCCTTCAGTTCATCTCTCGCAGTCTGTACTTCACAAAGTTTGCATTTTTGCATCTCTAAGACATGTGTCTTGTTCTCCAGCTCAATGGAATGGGGAAAAGCCTTGTACTTCTTCATGTACTCCTGGTGCGTGGCACTGTAGTTTAATATGTGCTCCTTGTAAAATTTGCTGAGAAAGTGAATCAAAAGTGTAACAGTAGACAGAACTAATCTTTGACTTAAGCAAAACAATACGGTAAACTCTTGAGGCTAATTAGAGTATCTTCATTCCCTTATGAGTCGGAAATAGTATGTGTTGGTTCACATAATAACATTTGCCACTCCCTTAAAGAACAATAATATACTTTAAGAGAATTTTCAATCTGGTTGCTTGAAATTAATTGTTAAATCGTTTTCTTCCCCATATCACAGTGCTCACCAACCGTAAACACCAACATATAGACCAAATGAAAAAAAAAATTGACAACTGTAGTAAGTGGTCAATGTACATACATATGGAGCACTTTGCATTTTAAGAAAAATCAACTGCAGAGGTTAAGACTGTCATGCGTCACTTTTCAACATGGCGTATGTCGAAGTCTTACCAACTTATACCAAGCAGTTGAAATATTTAACCACAATCTAACCACTTCTTGCAGACTTCTTTGTTGTTATTCAACAATCAAAAACATTAACACTTCAGGCTCTGTGTATTTGGGGATGCCTGAATCTGGGACTAACCTTGTCCAGACTATGAATGAAAGCTGTATAATGCAATTCACACACTTGATATTTGTGTCTATATTCAGGTTTTTTTAAATCTGATATTCTAATGAATCTCACACTCAAATAACAAGTAAATCATTCAAGTCAAAGAACGCTCAATATCATGTGCAGAGCAACTGGATACTTATCTTACAACCAAGAGTTCATTAAATATCCGATTGCCCATCGACATATATATTTTCTAGTCTATCTCACGAACAGAACTTCTGACTTCTTGAGACTTGCATTAAAGAAGAAAAAAAACAACTACCAACCCTTCCTTCCGATGGATTCTACATTGCCTATTTCTCTGCATGTACATCCATAATTCTTATGCTTTTGATCTTGAACGAAACAAGATTTTACACTTCCAGTAAGCAAAACTGACCCAATCGCAGATAGCATCCGTCTGCCAGGACAGCCAGGTAGGCCATTTGTTCATTAAATGCCCCTTTTGCCTAAACAAAAACATACTAGCCTATTATTATTAAATACTTCAGCTCCAATCTTTCGAGAGACCAGAGCGTAACAGTACGTATTCCAGTTTTCTAGGGTCAGAGGATTATTCACTTGAATCAAATTTCACAGAACAGATCTGATGAAGAACAGAAATCTTAAATTAGTTCGGGTTGAATCATGGAGTCAATTGAAAAAACCATTGGTTTTAAAGAGCTATTTCTTAAACTTTCAGTACGCAGCAAGAAGCCAGTCAGCTGTTGTTTAACAATCATATTCAAAATCTACGAAATCCCAGCAAGTCAATCTTGTTTATAATAAAACTGTATGTTTATTGCAAAGATCATTCATTTGTTCTCAATTTCAGTTTAGCTTTAGTAAGAATTGTATGGCACTCAAAACACAAATAACATTTCTTCTTAGTTTGACGGTCTATTTTATGCCAATAGGTTAAGTTACAACAGAATTATAGGGAAGTTTATGATGTTGGATAACTAAACAGGCTGCATTTAAAAGTGGAATAGCCTTCCATACGACAAGATTTAACATATCGCATTGGCAACAGAACATAATAACTATTCGGCAGTGCAAGAACAACAATTGAACAAATAATATTTCTATCAGCTACAGCAGTGCGGCAGCGGCAAGGTAATTTCTGTTATTCAGCCTTCAGTCACTCAAAATTCGCTTTTAAAAAGTCAACCTAGGCAATTTTTTAAGAAATCACAGTAACTTAAAAGTGCGTTTGCACTTGTATTGGGGTACATCACTAAAGGCCAAATGGATATGTATTGCATATCAAATAAACTGAGTATTGCATCTCTTTAATGGACAACGTTTTACATGCATTAAGCTAGTTTCAAACAGACTTGAAAACAGCGCAATCCCAAGCATCACATAAAAATTGGACTTAACTTCAACTTCAAGGGCAAATTTACTGGTGGTCCTTCTATCGTTGGTATATTTTGGTTTTTCAAGAATTGTCTAGTGACGATAACACTGTGAGATGGTAATGAGTTAAACATGGAGATGCCTCCTCAAAGGGCAACATGTTGAAATAAATAAAAGATGTGATGTTCCTGCTCTTACGCAATGTAGTTCGAGTTTTGTTTATTTCAAATTTTAACACAGTTCAAGAGCAAATTTTTTCAGACTACACAAAAACCAATGGCTCCTGTGCAAAATACTAATGAACACATTTAATGTTAAGCTCAAAGTTGTAATAGTTGTTTAGTTTTCGTAAGAGTTTTACGGCACTTGCTACTAAATAGGGTCATATAAATGCAGAGTAATAGATGTGTTATAGGAGAGTAACAAACACAAAAAAGAAGGAGGTGAGATAAAGAAGATAGAAGTTCGATAGGAAAGAAGAAGCAAACCACACCAGAGCACCCGCCAACCACCCACCCTGCACCGTCTTCCAATCTGTCGGAAACTATCTTAACAAAATATCTTTGTTTATTGTAGATACATACAAATTCCCATCCTTAAGAAATACAATACATATATTACAATGTTGATGCATCCCAATACAAGCCTCGAGCTGTACACCGGTAGCAAACCGCTCGCGCTCGCAAGCCCCTAGTTCAAGTCACAAGCCTCAAATCATTAGGTCAAATCATTAAATCAAATCACCAGCATGTTACCCTTGAGTGAAGCCTAAACTTCAAGTCAGTCCACAACACTACTTAGACTAGTACATTGTACTAGAAATCCGCGAAGCCACTCGTGTCGGACCTCCTCGTCCTCCCCACACCCTGCTTGCAATCTGCAAAGTCACTTACGTTAGGAAGGGACACAGAGAGAGAGAGAGAGAGAGAGAGAGAGAGAGAGAGAGAGAGAGAGAGAGACCCGCTCACAGTGCGGCAGGCAAGTCTCAAATCCCGCTCGCAGCGCAGCAAGCCGCTTGTGCCCAATGACTTGCTTTGCATCCAATGACTTGTGCCCCCATGAATTGCTCGCAGCCCGCAAGCCGTCCGTGTCCCATGACTTGCTTTGCTTCCCATGACTTGCTTTGCCAGCAGCGCGCAGCAAGACCGCTCTCATTGTGAACTCTGAACCGTGGAGGAAGGGAAAGGTTGCGCTTGTTTTGGTGCAAGACGCAGAGAGCCGAAGCTATTTTTAACCTCCCACCCTTGATCAGCTGAGAGAATGAAGGTACATAGTGAGAAGAAGCGTGGTATTGTAGTTATAAGTAGATTAAGATTATCTTAGAATGGAAACTCCGTAGGTTGTTGTGTTTGGCTTTTGTACCATATTTATGCAGACTACTTTGTAAATGTTTTACACGCACAATGACACAATATATAGAACATTTTGGAGACGGGCTAGGCCTACTTCAACCCAATGTCAGGGCCAATCTGGGCTGAGAGGGAAGAGCGACCCAGTAGAAAGAGGGAGGTTTTCGGTAAAACGTTCTCCCCATACGGGAATCGAACTGAGTTTTTTTTGCGAGCGACGACGAAGCGCTTGACCAGTGCACATCTAAAAAAAACGGCCAGTGTATCATAAGAATAGCCAATCCATTATCAATTTGAAAGTGCATTTAATTCACGGCGGGTTTGGAGCGCCCATTTAGTTTCGGCTGGCGCGAGGCAAGCAAGCCCGCGCTTCCCCAGGTCACGGGGTCATTTACCTGCGCCGCCGGGGATTTCCCTTATCAGCCGAACACCGGCAGCGCTCTTGTATTTTTTGCAAAGTTTACCAACACAGTGAGCCAAAGCTAATGTAAGATGAACATTTTAATAAAGACCACGTAAATATTCAACATGTTAAGGAAGAAAATGAGGAAATCGGAAAACCATGGTACATAACACTTAAAAGCTGTGAAGTTCTCAAAAAGGGGACTTAATTTGATAAATGTGTCATGGGTAATCAATTATAAACATCAATTTAAATGTGATTGCCCCCAACGAATTCAATCAAATTTGCACACAGGACTGAGAACATAATGAAATTTGTACTGACAAAGGGGCATATGCACGAAGTTTCTGGTTCCGTAATTATTTAGGTTTGAAGTTGATTTTTGCAATACTCTTGCTTTGCGACCTTGTTTTTTCATAGCGATATCCACGATACATGTAACTACAGGACAGATCTTTTCTTGCCGATACACTTATGAAAACACAACCTAAACACAACTTACAAAAAGAACACAATATTGTTTGACTGAAGGAATTGTCTCATTTTTCCGCTGTAAGCTTTCGCCTTTTGATGGGTGGTGCACACGACAGTAGCTCAGGGTGGGTCTGGATGTGTTGTGACTGCATGATTGTTTGGATGTGTTTTTCTTTATCTTTTATGGCTGCTACTCGTCTTTCCAGCTTGGCCACGGTTGCATGAATGAGCTCACCCCCTTGCTCACCATGGAAGGCCATTCCAAACCCATATTTTTGTATCCAAGGAACGCAGTGTTTCTCAAGGATGTGGTGTTTGGGGATGACCTTTTCTTTGCCAAATATGTTTCTGTATAAAGACATATATCGTGTGATGCATGACTGAATATGTGGTATTCTCTCTAAAGTGATTGGCTTTCCATGTGCAATTAATGTGTGGATATCTTTGAAGGCGTCATTTACTTGAACAAATTTCTCTCTCAGAACAAATGCTGTGTCTATTATGCTTTGATTTCGTGTACATGCAACTGTTCTTTTTGTTAAAAATGATGCTAGCTGTCTGTACACATGGGCTGTGAGGTATTTATGGCAGTGGTTTCCTATAAATGAACGGCTGTGTTAGGCCTGTGGTGTGATGTTGTGTTGTTTGAGGATGTTATCAAATTCAGAGCAGACAGGACCTGACCTTGGACTAAGCTCCTCAAACTCTAACTCTGACAGCTGATCATGTACACTAGAACCCTCCCTCTCAAATCTCTCTGCTTCTTGTGGATTATCTGACAAAACCTGACACCCCTCTAACAATTGAATGTCCCCCTCGTTTTTTTCAGCCCTCTTCCAGTTTTTGCCGTAG